GAAAAAAATAAATTAGAGTTTATTGGTAGGTGGATATAACCAGTCAGTCCAGCTGTATGCTTACACACTTTATAAAAACTTCTCTTGAAAAAAAGCAAATTTGCAAAAAAAGTCCGGCAACCCTCTGATTAAAATTCATTTTTCTGAAAAACACACTTCAAAAAACCTAAATGCAAAAAACAAAAAAAATTGTATGGTCCAAACATCCTCAGTTTTCAATACAAGATCACAGAAAAATAGCAATTTAAAAATGAGCTTCAACGTCGCATTTCGGCAAATATCTCGACAACGACGCTAAAGATCAATATGAGATAGCATTAGTTTGATAGCTAGAGTTCTAAGAAATCGAATGATGTCAAAAAATTAGCAGAAAAAAAACCAGCTGAACAACGGCTACTATGGACGTAGGTCACAAGCTTTAATGAGTTGCCAGCCGATCTGACTACTGTACCTCTCATCCCGCCACGGAAAAATTCTCACACCAAATGGGAAATAATCCGACTATATATTATATATTATTGTAATAAAATTTTATTTAGATCACTCAGGAGCAAAAAAATTTTAGCCAAATACTCGCCATTGAATTAGCCAAATAAAAAACGCTCCAACATGACAGTATTTCATTTAAAAACCGAAATTTTGTTCTTTACAAAGAAGCCAAAATGCTATGCAAATTGAAGATTTCTCGTACCTGAGTCTCACTGGCCGCGTCCTGACTCCTGATGGTACAGAAATACTACCTCATAACTTGCGTACATTACATGAGAATTATGCCTTCGAAGAGCATATCTCCCTAAAATATTATAAAAAATAATTTTTACTTGTAAAAACCTGTGGTTCCTGTTTTTAATTTAGTGTTTTATGCGATTAATTGGTGTATTTATTGCGCCTCTTTTCTGAGGCTGCAGAAGACATGTATTCAAATGAAACAAAAACTACAAAAATCCGCTGTTTGTAAAGAGAACTACAAGTTCCCAAATGTGGCCATTTCAACACAAATTGCGCTGTTTTTCTCACTTTGAAGGGTCTAACTTTGAAGAAAGTGCGCTTTTTGAGATGAACTTTTTTGATTTTAAAATAGATAGGAAGTCCTAGAAGTTTGTGAGGGAAACGAAAAGTCTGGGAGGTCGTGTAAGAGAACTGTGCTATTACTGTATTTACCCATTTTTATTCCGAAAAGTGAGGACACAACCAAGGAGGCCAGATAAAAAGTGAATTTTTATACGATCTTAGGTGAGGACAAAGCTAGGTGGGTTTGTGTTGCGTAAATCTGTATGGGAGGTACATTCTTATTGATAAGCCGAACTAAAACGACCCGTTGGTTTTCATTATTTTAGTAGGAACGGGAGTTGATCGTTCTATAGTAGTACTGCCTAAATCGAAGCGTGGTTTCTTGTCTAGTTAGCGAGCAGACTGGTTTCAAGGACTTCGTTCAGGCGTTGTAGCCTTCAGAATGCTTCGCTATTTAAAGAATAACTTTTTTTGGCTAACTTCCATTGCTTTGACTTCATAATTTAGCTGGGAGCTCTCCGAGGTGATAGGGTAGTATGTATTTACTAAAAGTATGGTGGACGGCGGGAAGTCACTAAGAAGCAGGCATTTCGATCATACAACAGCTTTCAGAATTTTAGAACTTAGCTGGTAAAGAAGTTCTTGGTAAATCGTGGAATAAGTTACATGCGAGTTGAATTGAACGTTATTTGAAACTGAGGTATAAATAGCAATTTGTATTACAGCTCTGAAATTTGTGTAGTTTTAAGACGGTTGTGCAGACACTGTTTAGGCTTATTGCAGATTTTGCCATTTTGAGATTTGCTCTACTCGTAAATTAAAACGAGGAAATTTAAGAAGTGCTCCTACTTTTGAGCTATATTAATGTTTATATTTGCACTTCTGTTTTTGTTTTTATTTAGGTCTATATTTAGTTTTTACTTGTTTATATATATTTCTGTGTTCATCTGTTTATTGATTATATTTATTGTATTTTACATATTTAAGAAAAATAGTGAAAATGAATAAGTTTTTTTTTACTACAGAAAAAGGTCCGAAATTTAGCTTCCTATTTTTTCGTTTCTGTACTTTGAGCAGTGGAGACTCTGAAAGAATTTTTTGTTAATTTTGTAATTTTTATGCTGCTCTGCTTTGGTGTTAGATGCGTCCACCGGTTATTCGTCTTTTGGAGATGTCTTCATTTGTTGCTTTTAAGTTAACTTGGCTTTTGCAACAATAACTTTGGAAAACGGAAGTATGGTTAGTGGCGAGGAGGCAGATAGGTCCATTACTGAAACATTCACTGCGTTAAGAGATCAGATTGCAAAGGAATGCGCTTTGAAAGAGGTAAGTTGGTTGTTTCTTTGTGGAACTTGGCGTTATCGGCATACTTTTGCAAGTTTTGTAGTTATCGACTTTGAAATTTGGTATTAAAGGTTTGTCTGGGGAAATTAAGATATTAAGCTTGGTGCAGGTGTATTGAACGTATTTGTAGTGCTGTGCATTCAAGAAGCATTTTCATGCCACTTACATTCAGATTAAAACAGATCTATTTGTTTTCTTTTACGGTGGGTTTCAAGCTGGTGAAGGAGGCTTAAAAGAATTTGTGAACTAGTAACAGGCTGCTTGTTTTTCTTCCTGATATAGTAGCATTCCCTAAAGAAAAAAAAGGGATTTGAGGGTA